AGCAATGTTGCATATATGCAACAATCTAATGATGATCAATATATCAATAATACCGTTTAGCCAGTTAATAAAATTATTAAAATAATAAAATACATGGTTACTTACTGTGAATAAGATTTTTTTTACTACTTAAATGTAATGAAAAACATTTAAAAAAAAATCGTTTATTTCGCGATTATCAACGATTTTGTTTATCACGTTATTATCAATAATACTATTTTGAAACTGTGTTTACTCGATAAAATCAACATGCTACTGTTATTTAAATAAAAAAATAGATATTATTTAATCCAGTAGAGTGCTCCACATACATAATTACGCAATATTATAGCCATAATAAACGAAAAAAAGATTGTTGCAAATATGCAACAACACGCATTGTAGGGTTAAGGTTAAAGAATTAGGGTATTCTGATTTTTATGATATAAAAAATATTACAGAATGTAATAAGAAAAATTTTTCTATAAATTATGATGGGGAAAAAGTTATTTGGAATAATATCAAAGTATTGAGAGTGGATAAAGCACAACCAAATACAATTTTATATAAAACCAGTTTTTCAGATACAGAATTCAAAAAAATTAATTTATACCATCATGGAGCTCGTGGTAGAAATCCATCACTTGCTAATTACACATTAAAACAAGCTTATACACAAAAAAAACAAAATTTCAGTTAATAAGAAACGGGATTTGATGTCACTCTGTGAAGATAACTACATACCAAACATATACCATGATTTTTATAAAACCTTACAATCTTAACTCTTAACTATATTAATTCATAATAATCATTTTTTAAACAGAAAATCACATATTTTTTATTGCAAGTTGCCATTTTATAAATGTATGTTATTATTTTTATTTTATTTAATTATGAGGTTATTAATTTTTATTTTATTTAATGATACTGCTAAAATAAAATAATATTATGTTAATTGTATTGTTGTTGTTAATTTATTTTTTAATAACTACCTTACATAAATGCATGGTTTAGTATTAAAAATTACCTTATTGTAATTAATATAGTATACAATTTTAATTTACATGTTTATTTACTACTTGATAGAAAGACACATATAGAAAAAAAATGATCATTTCAGTCACGAATAGTGACACAAGTCAAAATGTTTTCAAACATTTGTTAATAACATCAATAATAATAAATTTAAATTATCATTTACCAAGTATTATTAGGAACAATGTTATTCAACATATTTCTATCAAAACAGAATAACAATCTAATACAAATTTGAATTGTTGTGTCTGTTTTAAACCTTAAATAGCTGATTACCAACAGTTGTGTTTTTTGAGTTGTGTCACTATTCTTGCAGTAGTATATTTAATAAATATATAATTTATATATTAATGCATACAAAAAACGACACTGGGAGAAGATGGTTTGTCAGCCAATATTACTATAGTACATTTTATTAAAGGATTAGTAGAACCGATTAGGACAATAGTAAAATCTCGTAATCCCAAGACTTTGGAGATCGCGAAACAATTAGCAAAGTCAGAACAGGTAGAACTAAATTTGGAAAAGGAAAATCATATGCATAGGAACAGTTATCCGAATAACTATTCACAGAATTATAATCAGCGCAGACCGAATTACGAAAATAGGAACAACGGAAACATTAGACCAAATAACTCTGTAAGGACAAATAATTTCGCACGAACAAATAATTATTCGCGAGCAAACAATTTTTCTCAACCAATCAATAGGCCAGCAATAAAGTGCTATAATTGTAATGGTAATCATTATGCATCCCAATGTAGGAATAATTCGAGACCTAGTTATGCGAGCAACGGCAATAACAACCGACCACCTGATAGGAATAATTTTACGCAACCACCAACGAATTATAATATACAGGTCGTTGTTACGTGTTCATACTGTAATCGAAACGGTCATAATATCGACTCATGTCATAAAAAGAGAAACGATGAGAGTAGAAACGTTAATAATTCGGAAAACGAAAACGTGTCGAACGAGAGGCGCGGTACTCGTACGATAAACCAGATTATCGCGGAACCAAAGACTCACAAATATTTCACATATTCGCAACCTTAGAAAATAATCATATAACATTTAATTCATTCGGCACTAAAAAAAATCAATTACAAATTCGTTACAAACCCGGAGTTCTAAATTCAAATGTAGATGCACTCACACGCATTACGCATATATTCAATTCAGGAAATAAAAAACGAATCATACGAACAATTTCTCGAAAACTTAGGAACACAAATTATCACAAACAGTAATGTAAAAGAAACTATAGGTACACTAATAGATTCACCAAAAGAGTATAACATAGTATCAGAAATTGCCAAGCAATATAATTTTAGGACTGGAACAAACTATCAGTTGAAAAAACAATTTGGAAACGGTACAATGTTGACAACTAGTAAAGTAATAGGAGACACGCCCTATTTCAAACAGGAAAACAGGTTTAAAATATTCTTGGTAACAAAAAATAAAGACCGACAGAAGGCCACTTACGAAAACATGTATATATCTTTGATCAATCTAAAGTTATTTTGTAAGGAAAACAATTTGAATAAATTAGCCATGAACAAACTAGGTGAACACGATGATTTATAATGGGAAAAAGTAAGGTCAATGTTGCGATACATATTTCGCCAAACAGATATAGAAATAATTATATGTGCAAATGTAGAATATAGCGAAGAAGAAAAAGCAATCATTTTATTACAATTTCACAATTCAAAACAGTAGTATATATTTGTATGTTCACAGCCAGCTTTTCAAGGGAAAAAAAAAAGTTCAAGCGTTGAATGTCCCCTTGGAGCACTCAAATTTACCGTGTAACACATTTCACACTGATTGTCTACCAAATTTCGTCTCACGCAAAAAAAAATATTTAATATTTTTTTCTTTTTTACTCGTGTTGGTTACACTGTTTTTTTTTATCTAAAATTTGATAAACAAATTTACAATAATTTTTAAAGTTGATTATTTTTTTATTATATTCAGTTCATAGAAAAAGATTAATGATTCAGTTACTAATGATCTATCGTTCATTCAAGTTGTGTCTCATTTTTCTTCATTTTCTCAAAGTTTTATTAAATTGTATAAGTTATTTAATTTCTTCAAAAATGAATTTTCAAAAATGCACAAACGATATCCAGTCATTGGTCGATCAAATACGATTCAATTCAACGCCAGCGTATCCAGAATTCTCTACATTTGTATCGAGGTTACGAACTTTTAAAAGTTTCCCTTCAAATACCGGACAGAATAAGTACAAACTCTCGGAATGTGGATTTTACTATATCAATCTCGACGATGCAGTTCAATGTCATTGGTGTGGAATAATTCTACATAGTTTTGAAATCGATGATAATTGTTTTATTGAACATGTAACGTAACAACCACTTTTTTAAGTAAGTTTGTTATTTAAATTAACTTTTTGGTAAATTAATATTATAAGTAGTTACTATAAATGTAATGTTTTTAGCTCATAATACTATCTTTTGAATTTACATTTAGCTGTTTCAGTGGTCTTGAAGAAATCACTGAAACTGATATGCCAGATAATAATTGTTTTTCATCCGTCCAGTTACCCGAGTCACCAATAAGGTATGTTCTTTATGATGAATAAATAATAATATATTAATTTTATAATATTAAGATAGTGTTTACAAATATAGAGCATACCAAATTTGCATTCAACAAAACAAATTGTGTGTTATATTAGAGTGAATGGATCTATTGTCTATCTATATTATATCTTAATTATAACTGTTATTAGGAGCAACTCCAAAAAAAATGTTGGAAAAAAGAAAAATACGCTTTCCCATACAGTGGAAGCATCGCGTTCCTTAGTTTCAATTAGTTCTGAAAGAACAAAACTGAAAGCTAATTATTATAAGCAAAAACTATTACTTTTGGAAAGGCAAACTGTGGCCAAAGAAAAAAAGGCAAATGCCATGGCATTGATAGCTGAAACTATTGCAGCTAAGTATAAAACATAAATGCTTATACATAATTGTTTGTTGATTAAATGTTGCATGTTGCATGTTGCATGTTATTGTATGAATGTTATATTCAATATAAAGTGTATATGAATAATTAACAAAAGCGGGTAAGTGGATGACGCTCTGCTGTACTGTAGGTTACTAGTGGGTCAATGTATAATGGTTTGTATTAAACTTTAATTCAATGATATAATAACATTGTATAAGAAAAACGGTTCTGAGCGGAGATGGTGTGTCAGTCTGGATTTTTTGTATATTTTTATTATTTATTATAGCCTAGTAAATTGATTTAATATTATTATATATTTTTTTTTTTTATCCTAAGCTATGGTGATAAACAAAGCGTTAAAAATTAAAATCACATTTTTAGCAGTTTTTCGTAATTTTTTGGTAGTTTTTCCCGTGGAATTAATTAACTATTGAGAAAATCGAAAAAATTACCTCTCTAAAGTACCATCTTGATCCAATTTTCAAAAAAGATAAGGTAATATTCAACATAATATGTTGAAATCAAAGCATTCCTTCTGGTAGAAATTTTGTATACAGGATAAAAAAAAAAATAAACACCATTGTAAAACCACTAGCTTTCTCGCTCCGCTCAGAATCTAAAACAAATTCAGTTATATTGGGTGAATTTCTTGAAAGGATGTATTATTTGTGTTGTGATTTAGGTTTTAAACTTTAAAATTTCAATATATTATTTAAGTTGTTCTTTGATTTTTTAACTATAAAGACAACAACAGTGGCGGATCCAGGGGATCGGCCACTGGACAACAGGTTGAAAACTTTTGTGTTTGCTAATGCTTTATTACATATTAAATATATTGGTGAATGAATATTATTTTAAATTATTAACTGCCTGGGTTCTAAAACTAATAATAATTAACATATAACTATAAATGCGTTTTACTTCAATGTTGGTTTATTGTAATAATGTTAAATTTTTTTATATTTTAATTTTAAAATTATCATTGAAAAAAAAAGAATGTTCTATCAAGTAAAATATGATCTAATCAAAAGTTGTTGTACTCTTCGACCTGCAGCAAGTTGAGGATTAACTGTAGGATTTAATTCAGGAACAAGGACACCATATATACCAAAATCAATGTCTAGAGGATCATCTGGTTCTCTCTCAGGAACGGGCAAGTTTGCATTGATACAGATATTATGAAGAATACAACATGACACTATGATTTTTGAAGCTCGTTCTGGATTATAGTGCAAAACTCTGTGTTTTAATAAACATCTAATAAAAACATTTTTAATATTTAACAATTCTAATAAATGGTAAATTTTTTTATTTTAGTTTAATTTTTAATACCTAAATCTCATTTTTAAGATCCCATTACATCTTTCAATGGTCGACCGTGTACTAGTCAACCACTTATTAAACAAGGAATCAGGTGTATCCGGAATAGGATCACTTAATGGTGTTAGGAGCCAAGGTCTAAGTGGGTATCCTGAATCACCTAATAACAAGAATAATATGATTAAAAGATCCAACATTATTTTCTCTTTACAAAATATTTATGAACTACAGTTATTGTTTAAGATTTATAATTTGTACATAAAAATTATCATTCCTACCTAATAAAAAATATGAAGTATGTCCATTGTCATGCAAGTTTTCCATGTAAGTGGATATCATACTTTGCCGCCATATAAATGAATCATTAGTGCTACCAGGATATTTAGCATTAACATTCATTATTCTTGCATCGGAGTCACAAATCTTTAGTCAATAACAGAGCAATGATGTGATGTATTAAAATTAAAATTAACAATGGTTTTTTTTTCTGTAGGTAATATTGAACTAATAATCTATTGCTAATCTCATCAATTAAACTCAATTTTAAAGTTCTAGGTACCACTATGGTTCTACACTTCTACTCATACTCACTAAAAAGTGCAATGACATACAACTAAATTATACTACCTATGGAATGTTCCTTAATAACTTACTAATTGTGTATTAATGCTGTGGTAACCCTTGCGATTCACATAAATGTGTTCAGGGTATAATCCTTCTGAAGGAGGTGGAAATATGGCAATATGGGTACAGTCTATAGTCCCTATGACTCCTGGCACTCCCTTTTTATCAAGAAATCTGTTCATGTTTAGAACAAATACAGCAATTTGAAAATCATAATAGGTTAAATTTATGTAAAAATATATATTTTAGATTTTAGATTTTAGGTATGAGTAAAAAAATGTGTTTACCCTCTACGTACTGCATTTAATTTTTCAAAACTATCGGGAAAGCTTATATAACGTTTAATGATATCTGGTTGATTCAGTGCATTAGACACTTCAGCGATACATCTGCTCACAGATGGCTGACTTAATGCTGATGATCTATTATCACCTATATCAAGTTGATACGAACCACTAGCAAACAACCGCAAAGCTGTCAAAACCTAATATTATTCATAACATTTTATCATAATAAATTATTATTAATAATATAGTCATAAATAATTATGACTTGACTTTTATCTTAATTGGGATTGAAGATAATCTATTTGGTTCAATCATGTACGGTGTTAATACATCTTTTAACTCCTGAACCAAAGCCTTACTGAGTCTAAATTTTTTTAGAAACTGGTGGTCAGATAATTCTAAAAATATAATAAATTATAATGAGTATAAATGTATAATGTAATTAAGTAGGTATGAACTAAGAAGGCTATAAATACTATAGGTTATTTATTATTATTACACAAACCAACCTTCCATAACATTTTGGGCATTATAATATTGCCTAGGCCGATTACCTACACCTCTAATTTCAGCTTCCTCTAACATTCCCAAGACTTCCAAGTGCACAATATCTTCAAGAGCCATTTTCCCAAGTCCCGAAAAAAATAAATTGTAATATCGGAATCGACGCTCAATCGTATAATAAAACTTTTTAATAACTGTTAAATATACCTAGTAGGTAATATACTTAAAAAATACAAATTGACAATAAACCAATAAACAAAAATGATAAGATAACAAATAGTATGATAATTAATACGAAACGATCAATTCGTTACGTACAGAGGTCGACGAACGTCGATTACGAATATTTACGTATACGTTTCGTTCGAAAAGTTTCGAGAATACGAAATTTTGAAACATTACGTAAAAATGGCGGATTACGTACATTTTGCTCGTTCTTTTTCCTTATCAAATTTTTCGAGAATAGACCCCCAGGGCCTCAATATACCTTAGATGTACTAGAGCCGCCAAGACCGAGCGAGCCGCTTATGCACCAGCCATTACACACAACTTACACGGAGATTATCAACTACCTACTACAACGAGTCAACCCATGATATTACAATTTACCACGACTATATTACTTATTATTGGTTTTAATAAAACTACAATTGATTTATATTATAAATTAACTATTGTTTATTATAAAAGTATATCAGCTTTTGGATTCCTGAAGGGCAGCACGTAACAATGGGTATTTCATTTAAATAGACTGTTTATTATATTATATAAAACAACAAAAAAAAAATTATTCACAGTCCTCCAGTTACTACCAGTGAATTCCTATTAATAAACATCGGTATCATACTAATCATAATTTCTTTTTTATTTTGAAGTATAGGTAGTTTAATTTAAACATATAGCTAGATATTAAAATATTTATAATGAGTATTAAGTATCACAATTATTATTAGTAAATAATTCAGTAATTAATGAATTTAATTTTACATTACCGTGAGAAGACTTAAACACACCACCATCAGTATTAATACTTGAATGCAAATTACCTGCAGACTTTGTTGTAACGCCATCTCCTGAAATTAATTAAAAATATAATAAAATATTAAGGTCCTTCAAATGTTGATTTATAATATTTATTATATAAAATAGTAATTATATTGTTCTTTTTAGAAGATTTTGTTTGACTTATGTATTACTTACCATCATTCACATTTTTACCAAGTTTTTTAGGATTTTCATCCAAAACCTAAGTTTTTGTTACATGTTTCAATGCTTCTGCATCTTCAGTTTGGTTGTTAGTACTTGATATATTCCATTTTATAGGTGATTTATGTGAATTGAAAGTTCGGTGATATTTCAGTTTGTCCATATCTATTTAAATGATTGACCTTCCAAACTTGGGTGTTTGGTGAAAATACAGCATTTGATGAGGATTGGATCAAAATATTTTCTTCTGAAATTGAATCATTACTACCTAATAAATGTGACAAAAAAAAAAAAAAAATAATATAATTTATAATAGAATCAATGCATTTAATTTAAATTTAATTAGTTATAATTATAACATTTAAATACTATATAATATACTTTTATTGATTATGATGCGTCCATCACAATCTGAATCATCATTATCATCAGCAATATTATCGTCATTATTATCACTCAGTGATTCATGATTGTCAACATTGAATATAGATTCAACATCGTGTTTTGATTTTGTTACTATATGAATTAAACATTAAATTTGTATTTATATATAAACTTTAAATACTGACATTAATAATTATTACAAAACAAAACTTTAATAGTACCTAATTTAAAAACGAACCTTTAGAACAATAATCTTTATACTTAGGTGGTGGAAAAAGCGTGTCAACTAATCCTCCAGATGAATTAAATGTTTTTTTTTCTTCATCTTCTGTTGTAGACAAATCCGAATTTGTAGTTGCTTTTGAGAGTTTGGATTGTGCTTGATCTAATGTTGCTACAAAAAAACAATTATAAGTATATACAAATAATATGGTACTATATATAACAATAATAAATGCAATAATAATTAAAAGAATAGGTACCATAGTTTTTTGTTCCTAAGATACGTGCTGGATAATAAAAAAAAATCGGTTTTATTTGGCTTGTATCGATTTTTAATTAATTTTTTTATATTTTTTGATTACTTCGGCCAAGCACAAAGATCTTTTTGGACCCATGTATCAGGCACTGCTTCAATACTATCTTTCATAAAAAAGTAAATTTCCCATCTACCCTTCTGTTAATTAAAAAAATAGAACAAAATTAAATGAAAGTTAAATGTATGTATTTTTGATTTTAATATTGTTTATTAAAACCACCATATTTATCTATAATTAAATCATGATAGTAAAATTATTATAAGTAAACCGATATACCTTCTTATCAACATTTATTAAATTATCATATATCTGGAGGTAATTTGTCCTGAAATCACATTCGGGAGGACCTAAGCTATGTGGGCTTTGCATTGAAAAAAATCCCAAGTGTCTACAACGGCCGTCCGGCTGATAAGTATATGGTTTACCGCTGGATTGCAAATACAAAAATCATTTTTCCAGTTATAAGTATCGACGAAAAACCACAACTCCCCCGAACGACACCGGCACTCATAACCTTGTTCGGGGCCCATTAGCCTCTGTCTCGCCAAAGTTATAAATCGGTATCACGAGTATGGAGCTAGCCGCGCATAGATATATACTCGTATGTATTGGTTCATCCGGTAAATGAAAAAAGTTCTCAACGGGGGGGTACCTCTCGATTTTTTGGCGTAAAAACGACCATCCCCCGATCATCCCTAGTTATTGCGACCCTGTGAAGGAACCTATAGACGCTGTGTTACCAAGGTTTAAACCAAGGTTCTTAGACACTTAGACACATCGTAGAAAGTACCCCGAGCTACCATACCTGTTAGTTTGGTAAACCTACTACAAATATCACGGAGACGGCGATCTCATTTCGCATTGGTGGTCTACTGCTGTATTCACCCGGCAACAGCTAAACTCCAGTCTGGTCGAATAGCGCACACTCGGGAAAAGTGGATACGCTTTTAAACAGTGCAATGCGGTTAATAAGCGGATAAAGGATCCCACACAAAGAGTTAAAGGGTTCAAACTTCCACGGCGAGAATGGGTAATTCGATTTTTTTGGTTCTGAAACCGGAAAACTAAAGTATCAGGACTGCTGATCAATTTTTCCAAATAACATTTTTGGGGGAAATTAATATTTAACACTGTTTTTGGCGATTCAAAGCAAGTATTGGGTTTGCCGGATGAATCCCGCGGTAGACCAACAATGCACAATCAGATCCCTGACCACGTGATATTGATGTCACGCTCGCCAAATGCACAGGGACGGTAACTCAGGGTACTTGCTACGATCTGTAAAAGTGTCAAGACGATCGGTCGAAGGGTTGATTTTATGCGAATTTTGGAATTTTTAAAAACACGAATATCCTCAATAATATAGCGTATTACTGTACGCGGATCGATGTATAACACGGTATAATGGTGTGACCATCCCCCGATAATCCCTAGCTATTGCGACCCCGTGAAGGAACCTATAGACTCTGTTTTACCAAGGTTTGAACCCGTTCACACCATTATATCGTGTTATACATCGATCCGCGTACAGTACTATGCTATAGTAAGGATATTCGTGATATCATCGTGTTTCAGGATTACTATTAATAAATTCTAGCGTTCAAAAATACCAGCCACGCTGTATTGGACGGAAGGATTACTATTTTTAAAAGTCCCCCACTATCGATCCCCTAGTTATACGACCACATAACCATTGTAGTGATCCCTCACTAACGCTTATATTTTTGAGTTCAAAGACGTTGACGGTTGAATAGGAGAAAAGGTTGCAGAGACAAGTTACACAAGTTAGGTATAAGTAGTTTATTAATGTTTTAAAAAGTAAATGTTCACAATTAAGCGAAATATAAATTTGAGGACAGAGCGAAAAGCATCTGCCCGAGAAGTTAGTTACGTACAGTATGTACGTAGTGCAAACTCTAAACTAATTCTAATTTTGCAATAGACATCATCTTATATTTATATGAAATCTATGCGGATATAAAAGTACGCGGTAGAGTCTAGGAGATGGATATTTGAAAGGAGCCTGGAGGTAGATGTTGTTATTGCCAAAAGACCCGAGTGGTTGATTGGCAATTTAATAAGTTTGTTTTCGAATTATTTTGGCAAAGCGAAGATTCGCAAATTAATCGTTAGATTAGTTTTTTAATTGCTCTGTCAAATCCAAGGTTTGAAAAAGATAAGTTTTAATTGTGCTGTCAAACCCAAGGTATTGCAAAAGAATCCTAGTCTTGTTGTTGTCCAGCGTGACATCGTGAGAAATGTAATTATAATATTGAATATATAGGAAACGACTCCGTCGGTTTACTACATTCCTCCCCTCGAAGATGGAAGTCTCCGACTTCCCTTAGTTCAAGAATGTACGAAGTTGTGGATAGCCAGTAGGGCTGTTTCTTGGTGTGAGTGGAAATTCGACTATGTCGACGCTTCTTGTCGACGTTTCTTGGTTCGCACCATGTGGTTCTGTTTCTTCTGGTGACTCTACTTTTGTGTAGTTTGTTTTGGATTTAATCGTATTTATAATAAATATGCTTACTGTCATAAAAATTACACTTGCTATGACATAAAGTATGTAATTATTCAGTTCCTGTGAGTTTTTAAGTTCGTCGATACTGTTGTCGACCTTGCGTTGTTTTTCCAGTTGTTTTTTCGATCCTGACACCGTATTTAGGTCCTCCATGTTGTTTGTTTTGACATGATAGTCTTCCATTAAATTGTTAGTCTCTACGCGTGGTGAGTAGTGGTTACGATCTATTATTGACCGTGGGTTGAAGTCCATATACTCGGATTTGTAGTCAACCTTACCCGGTATCAGTATGTCTCTAGTGGCGTAACCTTTGGAGGTTTCGTTTAAGTGTATAATTCCTACCCCTTTGAGTGTGTGGCTAGTTGATTCCTTGTCTTCATCACAGGTAACAAATAGTACGTCATAGTCGGTCACGTATATCCATTCATTTTTAAATCTCTTCTTATGGAATATAGTTGTACCTATTTGCACATGCATTACTTCACAACTGTTCGGAACCTTGTCTTGATCCTGCAATAATAGTACTTCGCATGTGGGTCGTATATTACGAGGATGTAAAGGATTACCTTCAGGACATAATAGGAAATCTCTAGCGTGTTTACAATGAGTGTAGTAAAATTCGTCATAAGTTGCATAGTGTTCTTTGTAACGAGACAGAATTATGTCGATTACGAAACAACGCGCGCGCTCTAGTAGTGCGTACATGCGCGACGTGCGGAATGCACGTGGTAGCATGCACGACTGATCATGACTTTGAAACATTGTAGAACTATACCGAAGGTAACGGGAGCTTCTTAACTGTTTAAAGAAAGCGCCTGCACTACCAGCGAAACTTATTAAGTCTTTAATAACAACTTTCATAATACTACGTTGTAACCAAGACGTAATGATAAACTACCTAGAGTGCGTGCGGGTGCACTCACTCTTAGGTAATGATAATCGGAGTGAATATATGTAAATCCGAGACTTCCAAATATAATAAAAACTATATTAACCGATTCATCACCACTCCTACTGTAAAAAACTTGCAGCCGCCCACATCCAAGGAGATACCTAAACTCACGAAAATCGTCGTAATATACACACACAGGAACAATGTACTATCTACTATCACCATGCGCAGGACCACAGATATACGAGTCAAAAACACCAGTTCAAATCAGCAGATCAAATCGCATCGTAACTCGTCTAGTATCGCGAAGTTTAGTTAGACGAAAAGTCACTTGTTCCCGTTTTCCGTTCGTTGTCCGTTTTACCCTCCTCTAGTTTACTGTGTGTAGTAATACGTACTCCGTATTGACAAGCTACACACACCTAAACCAGAGGAGTGGCCCGTAGCTGTAGTAGATTTGTGGTATCTAGTAATACGTGTACCGTATTGACAGGCTAGATACCACATCTCTCGGGAGTCGCTACCCCAACCGCCGCCGTTGCTATTACTGCCGCCGTTATTTTGAGAACCGCCGCCGTTACTATTATAGCCGCCGTTGCTATTACTGCCGCCGTTATTTTGAGAACCGCCGCCGTTACTATTATAGCCGCCGCTGCTATTACTGCCGCCGTTATTGTAAGAACCGCCGCCGTTACTATTATAGCCGCCGTTGCTATTACTGCCGCCGTTATTTTGAGAACCGCCGCAGCCGATTCAACTACGCCCTACCCCGTGCCAGTGCCAGAGGAGTGCTATTACGTTGACAGAAGCCGACTACGTGGAGAACAATTACCCACTACGTGAGTCTTTACATTATCTACCAAATAAATAAACTTAACTGTAGCTCGAAGAGCAACTATAAACACAAAAGAATATACTGTAATATGTGTTATTTAATAAACACATAAAATCTAATCTGAATAAACCTATCTGTAGCTCAAAGAGCATTTATGTTTAAAAAGAAAATATTGTACAAACATTGATTTATTAACCGAAATTTATTTACGTGAGAATAAAAACACATAATTATATACAAATAAAATCAATTGTGTTTTGCATTCTTACAATTGGCGCCCAACTACGGAGCTCGATTCAAGAACGTATAATTCGTACCACGAACCCCGTCTACAAAAATCTACTTCATAATACATCTCAAGTATAAACAAAGAAAAAACCTACATCATAATACATCTCAAGTATAAACAAAGAAAAAATCTACATCTGTTTTAAAATGGCACCAAAGTAAACTATCTCTGAAGAAGATTTCAATGCATTTAAACGTGAAGTTGAAAGAAATAGTCAATACCTAGTAGATCAGTTATTGCAAAAAATAAATAAATTGGAAGAAAAATATAATAACACAGAAAATGAAAATAATAAAAAGATCGAAGAAGTTGAAGAACGATGCAAAATAGAAATTGAAAGAAATAATGAAGAACATCGTCAGAAAATACAAAATCTGGAACGACAAAACCAAGAAAATATCGAAAATTTAAGAAAAACATTTATTAATTCAAATACATACAATATGAATGATGATAGAAGAAATTCAAATATTGAATTATCTAAACCGTTATTTTGGGCAAACAATAAAGATCCACACCCGATAGAATTCTTACAAAATTTGGAAGAATACTTCAAAATAAAACAAATAAGTCGTGAAGAAAAATTAATTATAGTGCGAGACTGTTTAAAAAGCGCAGCCAGCAATTGGTATTCAACCGTCAAATTTCAAATTAGAAATTATTTTGACTTTAGAGACGCGTTTATTGAAGAATTTTGGTCTCGACAAATTCAAATACAAACATGGAGTGAATGCCTGAACACCACGCAGGTGTCAGAAAACGTCACATACCGGGAGCACTTTGCAAGATGGGCATCAAAACTACGACATCTACAGGTCCCCGAATTATCCGAAGAAGAAATTATCCACAACATAGCTAATCACTATCCAGGGCACTTGAGGGCAATATTATTATCCCTTCAAGACAAATCTGTAGTCAATGCTATGAAAGTGCTGGGGGCCGAAGAAAGCCGAAGGAATAAGATATTGGTTCCAATACCAGAAAATAACGTGCAACGAAGTCATCAACAAGCAGGTACAAGTAATGATAATCGGCAATACAATAACAAACAATCAAATCAAAGAGAAAATCAAAACCCACAGAACAATACCAACAACAATAACAGAAATCAGTATCAAGGCAACAGGGGACGATATAATAACTGGGAGTATCGATCAACGCCCAATAACAATAACAATCAGAACAACCACCAGGGTGAATGGAGAACACCACAACACATTAACCAAATTGACCGAGTTAGCGACAACACCACGGAACTACCTCATGATGACAACCTACCACCAGCTACAATAACACACATGATAAACACTATGTCTACGGAGAGTGGGAATGTCAGCCCATATATTCAATGCGAAATTGAGGGTGAACCAATAAGACTACTCGTTGACACAGGGGCAACCGTCAGTGTACTAACAAAAGAAGTAATTGATAAGTTGTTACGCCGGAACAGCAAGATTCCAATATTTCCTGTAACGGGGGTACAAATTAGCAACGCTGTTGGTACGAAAATATGCAAAATTGCCAAACAAATATTCTGCGAATGTAAAATAGGGGACAAATTTGTATTTAATAATTTTATACAAATTGAAAACCTCAATGAACGGGGTATTATCGGAGCTGATATCCTCAAGGAATATAAGGCGCGAATCAATTTTGAAAACAAAACCATCCAATGGGAAATCGAGAAAGACGTATTGATTACACCTTTTTCAGAAAAACACAATCCAGCTATCCCGCGACACACGAACATCAATAATATTGAAATTACCGAAGAAAAATCCGTGGATGATAAAAAACATGAAGAAAGAGAAAAATGTGAACAACTCATAAAAAAATTTGAACATATATTCTCTACCGAGCCCGGTAGAATAAGAAATTTACAATGTCAAATAAAAATTCGGGAAGGAGAACCAGTACATCAGAGACCGTACCCGATACCAATGTCAAAATTATCCAGAATGGATAAGGAAATCCAAAGGATGTTGGATATGAATATTATTGAACGGTCTACATCACCATGGTCCTCACCCATCGTAGGCGTTGAAAAAAAAAATGGAGACATACGACTGTGCCTTGATGCACGAAAAATCAATCAACACATCGTACCAGATAGGGAATGCCCCACAAATATAGAAGACATCCTAATGAAGTTCAAGGGGACCAAATATCTGAGTTCGATCGACCTAACATCAGGATATTGGCAATGCGAGTTACGCCAAGAATGTCGAGAAATCACCGCGTTCCTATACAGGGGACGAAACTACCAATTCCAGGTACTACCTTTTGGACTCATCAACTCGGTGGCAGAATTTCAAAAGATATTAGATGCCATATTAGGCCCGGAATTACTACAATTTATGGCAATATATGTTGACGATATTCACATTATGTCCAAAACGTTCCGAGAACACATGCAACACTTAGAAAAAATATTTAAAAAATTTTCAGAATATAATGTAAAAATTAATATAAAAAAATCTCACTTTTTACAACCTCAAATCCTATTTTTAGGACATGTCATCTCTGAGGAAGGCATTATGATGGACCCCGAAAAAATAAAAACTATACAAAACTTCCAAGCACCACGTAATAAAAAACAAATACAGTCATTTTTGGGATTTATTAATTTCTATCGGAAATATATTCGAGACCTGTCAGAACTCACTGCTATACTAAGTCAACTACTCAGAAAAAACCACCCATGGACATGGGAGGAGAAACAACAAAATGCATTTGAACAAATCAAACGTCTATTCCTCGAAGACATCATCATACAATATCCAGATTTTAACAAACCATTTTATCTATCAACTGATGCGTCAGGGACTCATGTAGGGGCAGAGTTATTTCAAATTAACGATAAAGACAAACACCAAACGTTAGGATTTGTGAGCCGAACCCTAAATGAAGCCGAGCAGCGTTACCACACTACAGAACTCGAACTATTGGCTATCGTATTCGGATGTAAAAAATTCCGCAACTATATATTAGGTTATCCCGTTAATGTGTTGACTGATCATCAGGCCCTCACATTTTTGAATAAATGTCAGCTCCTGAACAACCGACTGACTCGATGGTCACTGACGCTCCAGGAGTACAATTTGACGGTCATACACATACCAGGAAAGGAAAATGTTGGCGCGGACACGTTAACACGATATCCACAGCACCCGGATGAATGTGAAAGAAGTAAACACATCAATCTCACACTAAATCGATTGATGTTGATTGATTACAGTACCGATTTACAGAAACAATTTTCAAACTTTCGGGAATTGCAACAACAAGACCCAAAATTAAAGAAAATAATGAGCCAGATGCAGAAGAAACCACACGAACGATTTATTGTACATAAGGACATATTATTCTCAATCGGAAAAGAGAACAAATACCGTGCCATGATACCAGACACTATGAAAAGGCAGCTCATTCAGGAAACTCATGAACATTTTGGGCATGCCGGTACATATAAAATATATGAGATCCTTCGACATAATTACCAATTAAAGAACATGTACCGGGCAGTAAAACGGGTCGTTAAATCATGTGATCTATGTCAAAAAAGTAAAGTCAATAATCAGCTGTCCAGGGGACCCACACTATCTAACATACCGGACAGATCAAGACACACGGTAGCATTGGACCTTATGGGACCGCTCCCCAAGGGACAGTTCGGAGCAAGATATATATTAGCCATCATCGATATCTTCGCTAAATACATCAAGCTATATGCACTACGCCGAGCCACTACAGAAGTCATACTAAAAAGAATAACTAAAGATTACATGCCCAAATATGGACCAATTGAACAAATATTAACCGATAACGGGACACAATTTAGAAATGACAGATGGTACGAACAATTACATGCAATTAGAATAAAACCACTATACACTACTACATACCACCCGGAGAGCAACCCGGTAGAACGGGCCAACAGGGAAATAGGCCGGATATTAAGGACCTATTGCCATGCTAAACATACAAGTTGGGTACAGTGGTTAAAGACTATAGAATTCTGGCTCAACAACACCACACATGAATCCACAGGATATACGCCCCAGCAAATTATGTTCGGCACCCGGTATCGACTCACTATTGATAAGCTAATAGAATTCCCAGAAGAAACAGAAGAAGCATCAGAGAAGATTATATGTCAACTGGCAAAAGAACGATTAAACTGACGAGCACAACTCCGGAACAGAACCAAAGATAAAAATAAAAAATTCATCACATACCAACCCGGCCAACAAGTATTAATTAAAGAGCACCGCCTTTCTTCGGCCGAAGACAGAACTATACATAAATTTTTCCTGCTGTACCGCGGACCGTATACTATTACAGAAGTAAGAGGGAATAATACGGTCACCATAGAATTAGACTCGGGTCAAACACAGACCCATAACATGAAAAATGTCAAGCTATATGTTCCACCGGACCCAGGAGAGGTCGGAACTAGCAACAACCAATAAATATGACATAAAGGACATCAAGCCACCAGGGCCAATAAGATAATAATAATTCTATTTTTTGTTATTTTAGGTGGTTTGATATATATTAATAATGACTCACCCGTGGCCCACCAACCCTCACGAAAAGCAAATCTTATTAAAACGATTAAGGAACAAATATATGAGGCTGTTTGGACCGTGTTACCTTGAAGAAGATTTATCAGAGATACAGAATCCTTCTAAGACCAATACCAAGGAGGTCACCAAAGTTCAGTATCGTGTCCAGAACATACACATCCGCCAGCAACCCAAGACTAACCAACAGCTCAAAATTGAAGCGCAATACGAAAGAAGACGTTGCGCCCAAAGAACGCAGTATAATTTAGAACCGACCATCACCATGCCCGATACTATACAACTAGTACCAGTCAGGGAAGTTCCTGGTGAACAAGAGAACTCGCCAGTCATGATTGCACCAGAATCAGCAACAGCAATCGCAGAGAAAACTATTGAAGACCAACAAGAAGAGCCAGCACTGGAAGTGATACTCAACCCAATCGAACAGGAGAACATAGAGGGAGGTGAAAATGACTTATCTCCAGGATATGTCATGAGTAATCGAACTCGGAAAAGAATGTTATGGCTATCCAAACTTCAGAAGAAAAACCAACTTAACGCTGATACAAAATGTTAAGTAATTTAAGTGCTCATTTGATTTAGAAAAATAAGAGTATCTCGGATAAGGTCTCCGAAGATACGCCAAAGGTTTATATTTATTTTTGTTTCCCTTTTTTATTAACTTCAAGAAGAAAAAAAAAAAAAAAAAAAAAAAAATATAAAAGGGGACTATGTAACGAGACAGAATTATGTCGATTACGAAACAACGCGCGCGCTCTAGTAGTGCGTACATGCGCGACGTGCGGAATGCACGTGGTAGCATGCACGACTGATCATGACTTTGAAACATTGTAGAACTATACCGAAGGTAACGGGAGCTTCTTAACTGTTTAAAGAAAGCGCCTGCACTACCAGCGAAACTTATTAAGTCTTTAATAACAACTTTCATAATACTACGTTGTAACCAAGACGTAATGATAAACTACCTAGAGTGCGTGCGGGTGCACTCACTCTTAGGTAATGATAATCGGAGTGAATATATGTAAATCCGAGACTTCCAAATATAATAAAAACTATATTAACCGATTCATCACCACTCCTACTGTAAAAAACTTGCAGCCGCCCACATCCAAGGAGATACCTAAACTCACGAAAATCGTCGTAATATACACACACAGGAACAATGTACTACCTACTATCACCATGCGCAGGACCACAGATATACGAGTCAAAAACACCAGTTCAAATCAGCAGATCAAATCGCATCGTAACTCGTCTAGTATCGCGAAGTTTAGTTAGACGAAAAGTCACTTGTTCCCGTTTTCCGTTCGTTGTCCGTTTTACCCTCCTCTAGTTTACTGTGTGTAGTAATACGTACTCCGTATTGACAAGCTACACACACCTAAACCAGAGGAGTGGCCCGTAGCTGTAGTAGATTTGTGGTATCTAGTAATACGTGTACCGTATTGACAGGCTAGATACCACATCTCTCGGGAGTCGCTACCCCAACCGCCGCCGTTGCTATTACTGCCGCCGTTATTTTGAGAACCGCCGCCGTTACTATTATAGCCGCCGTTGCTATTACTGCCGCCGTTATTTTGAGAACCGCCGCCGTTACTATTATAGCCGCCGCTGCTATTACTGCCGCCGTTATTGTAAGAACCGCCGCCGTTACTATTATAGCCGCCGCTGCTATTACTGCCGCCGTTATTGTAAGAACCGCCGCCGTTACTATTATAGCCGCCGTTGCTATTACTGCCGCCGTTATTTTGAGAACCGCCGCAGCCGATTCAACTACGCCCTACCCCGTGCCAGTGCCAGAGGAGTGCTATTACGTTGACAGAAGCCGACTACGTGGAGAACAATTACCCACTACGTGAGTCTTTACATTATCTACCAAATAAATAAACTTAACTGTAGCTCGAAGAGCAACTATAAACACAAAAGAATATACTGTAATATGTGTTATTTAATAAACACATAAAATCTAATCTGAATAAACCTATCTGTAGCTCAAAGAGCATTTATGTTTAAAAAGAAAATATTGTACAAACATTGATTTATTAACCGAAATTTATTTACGTGAGAATAAAAACACATAATTATATACAAATAAAATCAATTGTGTTTTGCATTCTTACATCTTTAGATTTACTTATAGCTATGTACTTATTACTAGGTTTTATATAAACACAATCATTGTCAATACATACTGGTACAGGTATTAAATTATATAAAATAAAGTCGTTTTGATAAATTAATGGTAAAGTTATTATAAAAACTAAGTTGTCGTTAGCATAATAAATAGCAATATCTGAGAGTTTCACCAGTTCGTAAATGTTAGCAATGTCTAGGTCAGTGGGTAAATCAGTCCCCCCTGGTAAAGATACTTTAATATCTTTGACGTGTTCTAGTAACTCTAGTGGAGTTATTAAACTGGGATGTATAATTCCTATTTTTGCTTGTTGTATAATTTCTAATATCGTGTCCGTTTCTAACATATGTTTGGTAATTAATAAGTTAACGTGTATAAAATGTTTTGTAAAATAATTTTTTATTTGCTGCTCTTTCGTAATGTTTGTTGTTTCGTTCGTGGATAATGCCAATGGTAACATAGTTATATTGTCGTGTGGTTCTAAATTGTGTTGTAGTTCTACTACCTTAATTTGTTCTTTTATCAATTTAGATTGTGAAGTGTTTTTAGCTACTCCTATATTAAAATTGAATTTCTGTATGCATTCTAAATTACATATTCCATATATTAACCTAGCTGTTTTTGTTACTAGTTTAGTTAAAGCGCTACGCTTAGTAATTACGTGTCCAATAGAATTTAAGACCTGTGTCTTTTTATGGTGTAAATTTTCAACTATAGCGGTAGCTGAAAGAAGTAAGTTGTTACAATTAAAATTATTTTGTACTGGGTCGTGCATGTGTGTAACGCACAATACTTTCGTTTTTTCTATTACTAGGTTTATGTATTCGAATTCTTTATTATATTTAGTAAGGTTAATGTATGCAGTAAGGTCCCATTGAGATGTTACAAGTTTCAACGGTCCTCGATTTTCGTAGTAAATACCAGAATGTTGAGTTAAATGTTCGTCTGTGAAGCGTAATGTGCCCGATGTGAACGGTATTGTTAGTAGAATAAGTCTGAAATCGTTTCAGCTTATTAGTCAAGTCATAGTTTTGAATATTTAATATATTCCTACCTATAAATATTTTGATTTTTAAAATCTAAGTTATTAAATATTAACCCATTCCCATGTATAAATGATATATATATAAAAAAACTAATTGATAACCTTGTACCGAATAATAATAATAATAATAATAAATGATAAATGTATAAATGATATATATATATAAAAAAAACTAATTGATAACCTTGTACCGAATGATAATAATAATAATAATAATAATAAAATAATAAAATAAAATACCAAAGAAAAAGTAAATATAAATTGAGTGAAAAATATAAATAATACGTTAAGTTACGTTATAATTCTACAGGTTCAATTCTGTTTTGTTTTGCGCGCACGGCGTCGTTAATTGTATTTTTATGTACTTTGTAGAGTTGTAGAAAGAGGCACCGTGTCCATTGGACGTCTGCTCGTGGATCATGAGCTTCCAGTCCCCCGTGATAGTATAAGTCCTCACATAACAGCGTATGTGCTTCGTCTAGTTTAAGTGCCCTTCCCCTTTTAATGTGTTTTCCTATTGGGATTGATGCTATCGGTTCGTTACTTCCGTAGTCAGTAAGGAGAAGTACGAAATGTCCATCCATGTGGAGGTCCCACCCACGTAACGAAAATACGGGTCGGTTAATGTTTAATAGTTCTAAAATTTTTTTGTCGGTGCTTCCCTCCCAAGTTAATATGGCGTCGTAACGATCTAATTGTCCTTTTATTTGCGGTTGTGTAAGGTTCGGTGACAATGAGTGGTCCGAGTCGTATATTTGGGCGAGTACGGGGTACAAAGAGGTGGGCTTATCCTTAAATATATGCTGGAAATGTCTAACTAACTGTTTCCATTCGTCGTCCGTAATGGGTCGATTTTCCTGTAAATGCAACGCCCGCCCCTCTAGTTTCGTAATAATTTCCGGTTGATATCGGCCCATGATAGCGCCTGATACCAATATTAATCGATCTCGCCCGCAGCTGCCGAATTCGAAATCTATTATTGCGAACTCAGGTACTTTACTGTAAAATATACTCATTTTAGTCGTAAGTTAAAAAAAACAAATATTATGTTATTTATGTTAGTATATATATAAATAAATCGAAGTTCAGTTTTAATAAAAATAAGAAAAAAAAAATAGAAAAGTAAAATTATGGTTACATTATTAAAAGGTTAGTCGTTTATATACGAATATGTCCGTTGGATCTACCGTGCTGTCAATAAATTCTTTTAAGTAAATGCACAGTGGTTTTCTAAGTGGTCGGTTTTCTTTTGTCATGTCGTGAGAAAAGTGGTTGAGTGTGCGCGTTATTTCCAGTATTTCTGCTGGCGTGTATGGCCGCAATAAGTTTTTATTTGCTGTATCGATATGAAATAACAAGCAATTTGGTATTTCGTCGTGATATAGTGCGCGTAGGTTATGCTGTTGTAACCCTATGGTTTTGCTAAGTTCCTTAATGAAAATTTGTTGTTTCATTCTAAAACAATAAAGAGAAAGATAAGGATAGAAACTAGAAAACCGTGGATATTTGCATGCGTTTATGAATGCTTTTGTTGATAAGAAATAAGATAGATTTGGCTAATTCTCAAATTGATAACTTGAAAACTTCGTAAAAAAAAATTAATAACATTATTATGGGAAAAACTAAAATTTAAGAAATTATTGTTCGTCATCGTTATCGTCGTAATAACGTTTGACGTTATTTTTATGAATTCTATATTCACGACGCCCTTTCTGGACAGTTATGTTTTCGTTGTCGTGTACTAATAAAATTTCAAATGGTCCTTGCCAGTTTAGACCTAGTGCGTTCTTTTTATTTTGTTCTTTAATCAGAACCTTATCGCCTACGTGTAGTTCGATAGCGTTCATAGTTTTATCATAATATGTTTTGTTAGACTCTTTTTTCTTAATTAGATTTTCCCTACCTATCTTATGCGTTTCTTGCATAATCCGTTTAAGATCAAAAACGTAATTGTCGTAATTATATTGTGGTTCTGGTTCCTTATTAAATGCTGAAGGAATAGTTGGTTTCGTTCCGAATACCAATTCGTACGGCGTAAAGTTAGTCGACGTATGAACCGTCGTGTTATAGCAAAACGTTGCGTAACATAAGAGTTTATCCCAATTGTTGTCTTTGTCTACGAAGCTACGTAAGTAAGCTTTTAAAGTTTTATGTGACCTTTCCAAAAACCCGTTTCCCTGTGGGTGCCATGCCGTTGTCTGAATCTTTTTAACGTCCAATAGCTTGCACATGCCTTTAAAAACGTCGGATAAAAAGTTTGTTCCACAATCGGTTAGGATTGATTTCGGAATTCCGTATGTACATACGTAACATTCGACGAATGCCTGTGCTACAGTTGGAGCGTCAGTAGAAGATAATGCAATAGCAAGCGCGTAAC